AAATTGATTTTGGGGTATGACCCCAGCAAGTGTATCAAGAACGAGGTGTTCCGTGTATCAGGATCAATGGTTTTGCAAATAATCGATAATAAAATAAACAATTTTTCCGAAATGTTGCTTATTTTCGGGTGTTGCTTATTTTCGGAAGAATACGGTACATAGAATTACTAAAATCAGTAAGTTAACTGTATATGGCGATCAGTTAATATATCGTACGTAGTCCATAAGCACAAATGACTAACTATTAAAATTTTAGTCGTCCAGGGCGTGCAAACTTACTCTCGACGCATTTCAAGATCAACACAATACACGCTTCAAAATCAACTCAATTTTATTATCAGTGAATTAATTGAACAACTTGTCCTGTTATCACCTCGAAGTTGCAGAAGCATTGAAAGTATTGCCGTCAATTTTTCCGCACATAACAATGATTAATTTACCGATGAAGTATAATATCTTGCATATTATCTGGCCATTCTTTTTTATTACTGGACTTACATAATAATTCATCTACTCCGTAATTGGTTAAAATCATACAACAAAAAACCTATGCGACCACCAACAGGAGTTAGTCTTTCAAGACTCCAACTTTAAAATTATTTATTGATGAAATTTCAATAGTTTCTGCCACACTTTTCAACTTTATATTTCATTTTTCATTGTTTGCAAGCATTCATTATAATGACATTGCCTTTTACGTACAAGTAATGCCGTCTTAACGTCATTGACGCGTCGCATTACCGGTCATTGTACACGACATGCCAAAATTAAAAGGTGGGCGAACAGTTAACGCCAGTGCAGGGCGGCACATGACACAACTACTTGTTCGCATTTTGCATATCAAGGGGTGTTGGAAGTACTATATATAATGTAAGTAATATGAAATCAATAAACTCTCCTTTTCAATAAGCGTTAAGAGAAAACTCATTCTACAATTTATTGACGATTATATTACAACACTTCATCAAACATTACATTATATTACACTTGATACTATGTATGTATAAATATTGTATAATAGCATCTACTAATCCCAACATATAACCATATCTTGTATACAATATCATCTATAATAATCCAACTCACACATCAATTCAATCACACGAGTCGATAGATCGTAATGACAAGAATGACAAAAGGCATATTCTCGAACCGAGAACGAAAATTACAAATCATGTCACTTATTGACAACCGCAATCAGGTTAAATACTACTCGTCTGGTGACGGCGGCCTCCCGACAAAATAGGCATCCCTCAACACCTCCTCGATAGTTGGCCTGTTGTTGGGATCTCTCTCCAACATCTTCAACAGCAAATCTTCCACATGCTGATCATGACAATTGTAACTAACATGCTCTTCAATGCGCATGCGTGGAAAAGCGTCTTCCGACTCGTACAGCTTCACCTTCGAAACAATATAGTACAAAATACATCCAAGCGAGAAGACATCTTGTGCATATGTGGCTCTGATATCGCCGCTAGTTGATACTAATTCGGGTGACCTGAAACCCGGTGTGATGCAATATCCATTACTCAGTTCACGATATATGCGCGAGTCAACCTTGCGGGCATGGGAAAACCCACAGATGCGTATCTTTAAGCTACCGTCCTCTTTTAAGAGAATATTTGATGGTTCGAGATTGAGATGCTAATGGAATTGATATAAGTATTTGGAATGCTTGAGTAATCCAATCATGTAACAAGAAAAAAAAAAAGAAACACCAGATTTAAAAGCACAGTGCTTTTAACAAGCATACTAACCACTATCTCTTTTGAATGAATAAACCGCACCGCCTGGCATATATTCTTGAACAATTCTCTCTGAGATTGCGCATCATCTCGTAACGACTTTAGTCGTAGTAACTCCTTCTCCAAATTTTCTCCGTAATTCACTGTCACGGTAAAATAAAAATCATTCTTCTGCTCCGTATCCGCATCAATCAGCCTCACCACATGCTTCCCTTTAAGTTTCACAAGCAGATCCGTTTCGTCAACCCACGCCTTTTGCACTGGAAATATCTTGATAATAAAAGTATCCTTTGTTCGAAGGTGTTCTCCCACGTAAAGAGGATGCCTCGAGCTCAACTCGTCCAGTCGCCATTTCAACAGATATCGTTCGCGGACGATGATGTTTGACGGAGGGGGTTCGAACACACTTTCTTGTCGACGTTGGTACAGGCCACCTGGTAGTATTCGGCTCGATTGCGGCGGGTATCCATATGTGGGATCTATCGAATGACTGGACGGAGATGTCCGATCAAGCAGGCCCCCATTCAATGACATGTCGTTTGAAGCTGGCCAGGTGCTCTGACTCTGACTTGAGCGAGTAGATGTAGACCTCGATCTCGATCTCGATCTAGCCCTCGATTTACCGATTTCTAGTGGTGAGGTCGAAAAAGGTGTCGCTCTCGGAGTCGGTTCCTGTGGCATAAAAATCTGATTATTATGATAATACAAAACGAGAGAAAAGTTTTCGTTTTACATGTATAATAAACAAGCATACCGTTGGCGATTCTTTGGGCGGCATTACTGGGATAGGGCTACTGCTAACGAGGTCTCTGAATTTGAGCAAACCGTGGCAACTGATGGTGAAGCTAAGCATACCCCTTCTGTTCCTATTCTCCATGAGTGGTTCTTTAACTAGGTAACGTTATAAGAAAAAAACATTAGGAGCAATCACCCTCTTGACAAACAGATTCTATACTTGGAAAATTTAATTGTTTTTTCAAACGATAGTTACCCTCGAATTTTTGTCCAATAATTAACTTTTGCCATATCGCCTGACTCGTCAACACAACGACCATTTTAGCTGACCTTTTTTCATGCAGTGCCAATATTTCTAACTTTATTTCTGGTTTCGCAAGAAGCTCTAATGGTATTGCGTATTCCGATTTGCCCATAGAAGTTTTGTAGTAATTTAGTGTGGAATGCACTGCGGGTTTGTTAATGATCCATTCTAGATGAGCTCTGAACTTGTCGGCCAGTGTGCTACGAAAAAAGAAAAGAAACACAAAGTATTAAACTATTGGTCTCAATTTACCATCAGAATTATACATTGAAATCACAAGTTACCATGTGACATTATCAATAAGAAAATATCCAATATGACGTCCGAATATTTCTCTATTAAAAATGGCTTTATCCAAGCCATTAGGTGGGTCGGGTGACAGCAAGAATGCATTGAATGATAACTGTCCGATTCCGTTTCTCAGCTCAGACACAACTATTTGTAGATATCGAGAAAAGAAACAATCCAGATCAGATTTTCCCCGTTTGTTATACAATAAGTCGAAGAATTGTCTTAACAACAAGCCGTCATCATACATTTATGTTGGGTTTCATCATAATCCGATAAGTCGATAGCTCCTTCGCCAATAATGGCAGCTGGGCCAATGCCTTCCGGATCAGTGCATTTGAAGGATATCTTCAACGGACCCGTACAGCGCACATCAAAGATGATGTGTTCCGCATACGTTACATGTCCTCTATCATCACTGTACATTGCATCATATAGTGGTTAGTTGACAGTTTCGTGCGTGCATGCGTGCGTGCATGCATGCATGCAGTATAGCTAGAACGAAGAATTGGGTAACTAATTTGTTGCTTTACTTACATTTTGGTATTTGTTGTAGACTTGGACACGCCATGTGTAGAGGACACGCCATTTGTAGAGGACACGCTATGTGTTAACGTAAGCTCTAAGCCGACTGTTCTTTCCTTGGGCAATCCAAAGAATCTATGCTTATGAGCCGGTGCGTTTTCAAACATGCTACAACGACAATTTAGATATATATAGTCATTAGATATATGCGTCGTATAGGAAAGGGGGGGGATTTCCAATTCATGACGCAGTCTCGCAGTTCTTACATTTTGATATCCTTAACAACCACTTTAGCAATAACATTGCCATCATCGTAGTTCGTCATTGTTAATTTAGCGTGGCGGGGGGGAATGGCCTCCTCTCGAAGGAACGATATGGAGACGATGTTTAAAGAAGAATGTGGAAAAGTTTTTTTGTGCGGATAGTTTACAAAATTAAAAGCTCTATTTCTAAACATACGTTGACCAATGAGACATCAACTAATAATGACGATATTGACGCATAATGACCATTAGCAGTCCTTATCACAATGTTTGGGATGACCAAGGCTACATACAAACTTCCTCATATCTTTGTCTCGCCAAATTTGTATTGATTTTTGAGATCTACATTTTTAATGAACTGCCAAACGTAGTAATTCACAATTGTGGTATTCTGGTCTAACGTTACATTCTTTTAAATTCCAGTAAGTTGTGATCAGGGATGTCGTCATTATGAAATCTCGCCGAGATAGCTTTTTCAATATTCACCTTTCAACCTCTGATATTAAGAGATAATCACAACATTATTGATTCCACCGCGAATGCGGTAAGCCTTTGTTTGTCTTGATAATTAGGCGTACGCTGAACATATTAATTAGATTGCACGATCCCAGTTTGGATTACGCTTTTGCTTTCATGCAAAGCGCAGATCTCTTTCCGTAGTTACGATGCGTGTTTGTTTTATACACAATAACAATGTCCATTGCCAATTTAGCGTTGTACAATATTAGTTGGCCATTCTGATGAATCTTCGTTGCACGCATACTCTGTGGAATTGCATTTAAAAAAGCATACTAATACCATAACTTTATTATCTATGCCCAACCGAATTCAAATACAAACATTGACAATAACTTTAAATAAATTACCATTTTAAATAAAAGCGTGCAATATCTCGGTATGCGTAAGTAACAAGTTCTTTCATGCAATAAGATAATAGTAAATAAATTGTTAACGCTATGCGCTAAATATTGTTTTGGATTGTGCAATTGTTTTGCGTATATTTAGACACAATAATGTTATGTGCGATGTAACACAGTGATGGTTGAAAATGATCTCTACGAAATTTGTTGCTTGAAACCATGTCGTCACTTATTAAAAATCAAACAATTGACGACTTGGTACAATCCTCCTTACCAGATAAATATAACCGAAGACTTTGAATGGATTTTTTACTCTGAATTCACTGACGTAAAGCCAAGTCAAATTGGCAATATTCATTACGCTGAACATACCATGATGGTAAGGTTTATGAAGACAAGATAATGTTGCTATTAGTTGAAAGTGATGAGATATGTATACCATCATTCGTGAGCGAGTTTGCTAGAAAATACTCACTTCCGACAGACAAGTACAGGAATCATGTCTGCCAATTTAGACGATACTTCAAATGGCTTAATCGTCGTAACAGATTCATAATAATAATTGGATTTACCAAGTATGATAATAACTATTACATAATCGCTAGTAGAACATTTTACCATTGCTATTCTCTTTATGGATTCACTGCATGTGGAATACTCGATTGACTTTATTAAGAAATTTCAATTATAAACAAACTCGGCAAATGATGCCTATTTGGGACGATGATTCATATTATGACAAGGTAACCAAACTATTCAATTAAAGCATCATTCATTAATTAATAGTGTATCATTTCCACTAGTTCTGTGATGAACATCCGGTATTCTTACCAAAGATGTTTGGATTACATCGGATTTACATATGATACAAGTAAACAGAGGTATTGTCTAAAGAGGAAAACTTCAACATCAAACTCACGTAATGACAAATACAGGACGTGGATGGTTTATTGCTTTTTATTATTAGTTTGAGTTTGGCACTCATGATGGAGCCGGGAATCCGTTGAATATGATGCCTCATTAAAATTAATTTGACTTGCCTTTACCATTAAGCGCATCCTGATATTTGTTTTCAAAAAATGAGATATGTGTTTGCGTAACCGGTACACGCTATTATGCAAAAATGTCTCAGACTCACAGGCAGAAGTTTATCATTTAAGTCATGAATTGAGAACAGTCAAAGAAATAAAAGAGGTATATCTACATGTTTCTACTGAAGATATTGAGGAGCCTGTCGTTGCTGATTCCTTGCTTTCTCGTAGCAACCTATTCGCCTTCATCTTCAACAGCCACTCTCACTTTGGCTACTGCTAACCTGCCATTCCAGCAGACTTTACATATTCAATAAAGCATTGTGGCAACGTATTTAAATTTCATCTCTGTCTCTGATCCATTTTATGTGAAATTGAACGCCTGGGTTTTACTTTAAGTGGGTACGTAGTTGCACGACAATTGTTCTTATGTCACTGATTATTTCGTTTTGAGACGCCGATGGACAGATCAGGCCTTTCGTGATATAATGCGTTTTTCATTTATACACGAGCTCGCATTGACTCGGATGATCAACTGTCCTTTTGTTTCCTGTTCGTATCCTTAAAATAATGAATTTAGAATATCCTTTACACCTTTTATTTACATGCTAAATTTTTCTGATCGTATAGTACGATTGGAAGTAGCCTTTTCCCGATCCTACGAGGGATCCATGATAACGTTAAGTGACATGCAATTGACTGGCCTTGGTAATTATCTATCGCATCCTGTTTCCATCCACAAATTATAAAGTACCAGCAAGCGTCTCATTCTAATAGTCGTGCGCATGCGGACAATTATATGCTTCAAAAGCGTAATGATGCGATTATATTATTTCAAATCATAAATTACAGCATATTGACCATACTTCATTATTTGCCATCATATAATAATTATCATTACTACAAGTGAAACTCGATAAGCCAGAAAGGGACAATTTATTCGGCTTATTGAGATTTTCGTTTGATCAATTTCGCAACAAGCCGAATTTATTATAGCTTTCGGCTTATAACAACACATATATAAACTTTATTAATGATAAAATGCAAGAATCTCGTTTGCTGTAACATATCTGTTGTTTAGTCTCAATCGTTCTCTTTAACTTTTTTATATTAGATAAGAAGGCAGTATCAACTTGAAGCTCACTATCACAATCTTGAGTAATATACAGAAGCAAAGAATTAATACAAAG